AATCGATTTTTCAAAGTCACATAAAGATCATCGCCATTTTTTAAATAGAATTATATAACTTTTTTCATAATACAATTTTATTATATATATATATATATATATATATATAAATTTTTTATTAACACTTGACTTACGTTTTTCTCTCTCTCTCTCTCTCTCTCTCTCTCTCTCTTTCTTTCCCTCTCTCTTCATCTTTTATATTACATTATATATATATAAAATAATTTTTCATATATGTATAAAATATATACATTTAATACACATACAAATAATAAATTATATATATTTTTTATATTTACTTTTATCATTTCCACTTTATTATTATGATACACTTGATTATTATGATATATAACACATGTAAAAATAGGATAATAAATTACCTGAAGCAAGCCATATATTGTAAAATATATCCAATACACATAAATATAGTAACTTGAACAGTATGAAGATTCACTAAAATGGAACATCGTAGAAAATGATCGGAATCATCACTGCTAGTTGGTTTCAATCCCATCACTCCCAGTAACCTCAGGTAAGGTCTCAGTATCTTATGTTTACAATAATGAAGTACAGCTGATGTACTAATAAAGTTCTCATAATCTTCCGTGATTTCACCCACTTGCTGTACAACAGACAAGTCATTTTTAACTTGAGACTGCAAAACTCTATATTATAAAATCTAAATATTATAAAACAGCGAATTGTCCAGTGTTTATTAAAAATTATTATCCTAACTACAATGTATTAACTTACATCAGTGCTTTGAAAAGTAGTCGTTATACTTGTTAATATAGATGGTACTGAGATCTCCGTATGTTCTTCATTCTGTTGAGGTAGATCTTTGTCATTTTTTATCTTATTATTACAGTCCACCTATACGAATAATTTTTATTACATTAATAAATATCTTAAAAATAGCAAAGGTATGTATATGTCTGTTGTTTCACATATCTTAGCTACTTCTAAGTTATTTATTGAAATTAATGAATACGTACATATACACATATGTATTAAAATGTAACTTTAAAAAATATCATAAGAATTACACTTCATTGGCGATAGTTTTATAGAATATAATAATCAGAGAAATTAATTTTCCATCATGCGTTTCTAAATAAATTTTGAAATTACATATCGAATGTGTCTTAAAGGCAATACTCACAGGATAAATATGATTGCTTGATATCTATTTATATATCAAGAAATCAAAACAAAATATTCCGCTATAATTATGTACATATATGTATATATATAAAGCTTTAAGGCTAACAAGTTGGTTATCAGTATCAGGAAAAATGGAAGGTTACATTTCGATTTGACATTATATCTCGCGTGCAAAGTTGTAATAAGGCTGCGCGACCTTTTATAACTAAATTTGTAGAAAATTGATTTAATCGACTAATGTAACTCACCGACGCCATTTGAAACTCCTTGATCAAGGAGCAAAACTGCTTTCGAACTTCGGAAAGAAAATATTTATATCAATAGTTTGACATGTGGCTCACCCTAACATATGAATATAAATTATATCAGTTCTTCATGATGACATTTCACCTTTGCTCGGAGATATCCACGTGCACTACAGCTAAGCAAGTCGTTGTGTTTGTGTAAATAATACAACGCGCGTTATAGAGCGAAGCAATACGTGAAAGTGGTTAAAAAAAATTTTATATTTACACTATTATGATACAAAGACATTAATAACTTAACATTTTTTTACATATTAACATTCGTATAAAATGTATAAATTAACGTCTTTTCTTCCTTAAAATACTTCCTGCTGATCGTAGCACATTGTACTCTGTTCTACGGCGTTTCATTTCTGGATTTTGTTTTTTCTACAAAGAAGAAACGACGATAAAATAAAAAAAATATATTTTTATCTTCAATTAAATTGAATGTTAGCGGATATACCTTTTCAATGACAAAAGTCATCTCTCTGTTACCACGCGAGCCGGAGACTTTAATATTGTACGTCTCTTCATTTTCCAATCTTTCGCCGAAAGTCGCCCTACGGGAACAATTTTAAATGATTTGAAATCTAAACAAAAGAGTAATACTTGACAAATCAAAGTAAGATTAGTATTGTTCCGTACTTATTTTGTTTCTTCTTTTGTGGACCGCCTTCCTCGAATTTTACTTCATTTTCAATTTTATCTATCTTCGATTCGTTTCTTGCAATCAGATTATTATAATTTTCATCCTCCCGTTCTCGCTCTCTTTCATTTTTCTTCACTAACCGATAATTCTTTCGAACTTCTTTAACCCACGGTTTCTCATCATCTGAGCTATCATTGTCGGAACTATCGTGAATGAAGCTTTCATCCGAGCTATTGCCTTTAAAAAAAATATGTATAAGAAAATTTATACAATGTGTATAAATATATGTAAAAAAAACATTGCTTTGACTTTGTACCTTTTGATTCAGCCTCAAGTTTATCTTGAGTTTCTTCTTCTTTTTCTTCCGTCAACTGCTGTTTCAATTTTTTGGCTTTACTTTTAGCAAGCTGAGAAATAACAGGATTCAATAAAGCGTATTCCTCAGAATTTGTATCGATTTGGAAATCAGGATTGCTAAAGAGAGCTTTAAATCGTTCGTCCTTCATCAGATTAGAGGATGTTTGTTTCTTTTTATTATTAATATTTGCATTCTCCATCAGTTTTAATGCTAGCTCCTGATTCACACTTGGTAATTTTTGTATCTATTTTTAAAAAATATATAAATTAATAAAATATTAATTTTATTAAAATGTATGTGTAAGCGCGCGCGCGCGCGCACGAAAGACGTGTGTATAACATACTAAAAATTTATATGTATACACATAACAAATATATACATTAAAAAAATAAAGCTTATATAAGTAGCTCTTTAAAGATAAAATTGAAAAAAATACCTGTACTCTGCTAATGGTTTCCTCCTTAATTTTATCACGAATTCTCCTTTTTTTATATTCCTCGAATTCAAATGGTTTCATTACATCCCTTGCTTTCCTGTATAATCGGATGTCTATAAAGTATCCGTGCATATAAGCCCTGAGTAGATTAGTACCCTTCAGATGCGACAGACCTAATTCGTCCAATTCCTTATCAGTTACAAATTTGTAATCATCATAGATGATATCATAATTCAGTTCTTCCAATTCCTCCGTGAGATTGTCGAGGAAACTACACCAGTATGGGGCGGGACCAAGACTGGGGATGTAATATACTTGCATTTTCACACTTTCATTAGCTGTCAACAGCATACCGCTGTTTGGTATGACAGACAAATCATTGAAGTCATGCTGAGCTTCTATGGAAGTATAAAGTTTACCCTGAAAAAAAAAAGTTCTATGACTGTATCTAGGAGCGCAACCGTTTACTAAGCGCTCCGTGAGATCTTGCATCTGTTTGATCTATCATTTTAAATCTAGAGAAATAAGCCAATCACAGATACAAGAGTTCACTGGACAGATACAAGAGCTCAATGAGAAGTTGCGCTCTTGAATGCAACCTGAGATTCTAGTTGTAGAATAAAAAATAAATTTACAATTTGCATTTTGACTACAATATATATGATAGAAATATGGAGTGGTATAATCCCATTCTATCCTTTTAATTTTTCAATGCTCGAATAATTTTAAAATCCTTTTTCACGAAAATGAGAATTATTCGAAAAAAGATTATTCTATCATTTCGACTTATTTTAAACTATAAAAATTACCCTTTTCCCTTGTGCCACATATTTTGACCCATCCTGTGAAAAATAAAAGAAAGTAAACTTTACTCACATTATCCTTATTCCATATTTTTATAATGGAACTGTCCATGGAGTAAACAAGATCCATTTTTTGATGGAAATCTATGCATTTGATCGGTAATCCGTACATATGATCTTTAGTTAAAAACGGTTTATTAGATCTTATATCATATAACAATACATGTCCTGTTGATGTGCCGACTCCTAAATTCAATCCTCCTTGAAACTTCAAGGCAGTAATTGCAGGAACTGTTTCCAACCTGATTTGAAAAAAAGGTTAATTGTATTGATCTAACAAATGATTCAATAAAGAGTAAATTCTATCGTTATATCTCACTTGTCTTGAGTAATGCAATGTAGAGCACAGTCAAGTACGCCCACTTTGTTCCTTACTCTCGGGTCCCAAGCTTCGATCTTTCCTTCGTGAGTGCCGACCGTGAGTAAATGATGCAACGGATTTATCTCGCATTTATTTAACGATGTTGCTTCCGTTTCAAACGGTTGCAAAAATTGACCACGTTCGAGGTTTATCCTATATATCTTATTACTGCAAAAACATATAATTCTGTTTCATTTTAGGTGTATCTCATGTGTGTATCTTTATAACGTATATCTATATTTAAATAATAATCATAACACAACTATGCAATTGCATAAGGTTACTAGAACTGACCTATCGCCTACAATAAAAATATCACATGATGGATAATGGTATTTCAGATCCCTTCCGAAGTTTGGTACTCTGAGCTTATAATATTTCCCATGAGCAGCATGAAACTCAACATGGCGATCGCATTGTAGAAATATTATCTAAAAAAAAAAAACGTGACAAATTCAATAAAATCATTTCGAGTCTAGTCAATACTCACACAAAAAAAAATTATATTAATAGTATTAGCCAAACGGTCTAACTGAAAATAATTTTGTTTGTTAAGTATCAGTATTAATAAAACAAATCATATTTTATTAAATCAAGGACATGGCATAATTGTTTCATTAATACTATTATTAAATTAACAAATTTATTTTCAATTAGACATTGTTGGCTAATGTTGTTAATACTTATTTTACATTACTTTTTTTGTGCATATATGAATTATTTTATACCATTACAATAATACAATGTAATTAACGATTAAAGATACCTACTCATAGACGCGTCACGCATCATTCGAGGAATAACTAGATTAAGTGTACCAAAGCACAAATAATCAGTCCATAAATGTTGGTTCGATATCTATGGACATCGAATCAATGTTTAGAAACGTCGAATCGAAGTCTATAGACCGATCATTTCTACCTAGGTAGTGACTTTTAGCACTGTCGTGTTTGACGCGCGTTTACAGTTGAATTTATCCAACTGCAAAAGTGTCATCGCATTTGTCGCCAGTGTTCAAAAATTCATGCCCTCAAAAATTATAACTGTTTTTGACAAAGAAAGATAATTATAAGTCATGACGCGTGACACACGCGTCAAATGACTCGCCTATGAGTAGGTACCTTAAAAATTCAAAATACAATAGACCGTGTTTATATACTTTGCACTATTTTGTAGATCTTCAACAATTGTACTTACTTTGCTGTAATCATCTGATATCGCTTCAAAGGTAATTATTTCAGAATCAAAACATCTCTCGAATTTCAATGCCAGATTATGTACATCAAAACACTTTACACGTGGTTTATAAATTCCCGTTGCAAGAATATATTGCTCATCTTTAGAAACCTTAATAGATGTACTTATACCAGGCATATCAAAATCTTGTATAAGTTCGATACGTCGTCGTATATCTAATGATAAACAGTAATATTTTATACATTTGAAAAAAGCAAGATTTCCATAAGATTGAAAAGAAAGAAGCACCAAGATTTACAAATCTCTATTTAGATTTTGATAAAAATATATTTTTCCAATTTCTCTTTGCAAGGAAGAGCAATGATTTAAGAAATTTTTGTCCCTCAATAATATGAAAAAAGTAATTATTAAAATGATTTTAGGTTTGGATTAAATAATTATAAAATTTTAGATAAATTTACAACTGTCTACTTAAAATGAAGTTCGTTATTCTATTTGTTGTATAAAACAAAATCCAAAATATTGTTTGTATCTTACTACTTATAAATGAATATTTCTTTAATGATAAAGTTGTAATTTTACAAAAAATCGTACTTTTTAAATAACTACATCTATGCTTCCGAGCTTACAGTACCGAGCGATGATTTTTACTTTTCAAATCTTACTTTTGACATAAAAACAAGTTTACAGTCATCAAAATTTAAATGAAAATGCAAGACTGAAAATTAAATATTTATATTTGTATTCCATAAATTATTTATATTCATATTTTCATATATTCATTGATCTAACTCTTACCGACATTCTTCTTCGATAAACTTCGTCGTTTTCTTTCAGATAACCACTGTAAAGAATAATAATACATGAGATGCTATGCTTAACCTAAAAAAACCTTTTATATACTTAGATAAAACTTTTACCTCGGGGAGAGATTTTCCAGCACTAAGATTATAAATCTTTATATTATTTGGTGCGGACACCTGCATCCTGACTTTTATGTGATAAAACTACATAAAAAAATGTTTTTTAAATTTTTGTTGATCCACGTATCTATCATAAATCGAACTTCTCTCGTGTGGCACCTGCTCTCTCGAACGGGAGTAAAGTCGGGTAAACCGGCCAAGTAAAAAATGGTAGAAATCGAACAAATTTAGCTAATAAAATGCTCGTGAACGGTGTGAACACGAGTAAATAGCAGTGAATAGAATAAACATTTAATGCATGTAAAACACGTGCATTAAAACCACAGTGTAACTAGCCAGTGTAGGCACAGTATAACCTGTATAACCAGTAGGTCAGTAATAAGAGACTGGCCAATGTTGAGCCAATTTTTGATTGGCTGGATACGGAATGGCGCAGCCAATCTATGATGACTAAAAGTGCGAAAGAAG